CCAGAACGCGGGGCGCAATCTCGAGGGCAAGACTCCCTGCTAGGTGGGACACGTTGGGTCATTCACCTGAGCCACGAAGTCCTGTGGCGGAAGGGTCCCTGTGGCTCACCAGAGGCAGGGTGGGGAATCGAACTCGCAGCCTGGGGCTCGGCAGCCAGAGGCCTCAACCACTGAGTGTTTCATTTGGCACAAGCCTTCCTGGCCCACTTCTGCACCTATGCGGCTTCTTCTGCTAGCCGCAACCCACCAAAGGCTTGGGCATAGGAAAACCTGTTCATGTTTGTGGCACCACAAGACTTACTGTCGCTTGCACAAAGAGGAAAAGTTGCCGTTTGGACCCCTTGCCTAGTGGTTGCGTGCAGCCCGTTTCCGGGTGCTAACACAATGCACGGGGAGCTGCTTAGTATACCATACAACGAAATTCACAAATTCACAATACACGGGGAGCTGCTTGAGTTCAACAGTCCCACATCCGGGTCTTCCCAGAAGCACAGTCTACAAATCCCTGCAAATACAAGCTCTAGAGAAGGTCCATCATGTCCAGCCTCTTGTTCCTCTGACTGGTGAACCCAATGCCCCGCTGGGAAGCCCAGAATGTGGGGCTTTTGAACTAAAATTCCCATCACTCAGTGGCTTAGACATCTAGCTGTAGAGCCAGCGGTTGGGAGTCTGATATCCCACTGGGCCTCTTTGACAGGGGCTGGGCTCCATGATCCATAGGGTTCCTTACAGCTCTGCAGTTGGATGATGATCATGACAAGCCCTTACTGTTGGCCATCCTATCTGGAGCTGATGGGAACTGAACAAAAGACCCAGAAGGCCCAAGTCTCTTCAGTGCATTCTGATAATTTAAATCAAATCCATCCACGCCAGTGACTGCAGATTCTACAGGTTTACTATGTCCTCTGGTCATGAGACGCTTATGCCTCACTCCTCCCTCTGGACTAACACAACCACTGTGCAGTAGTGGTAAGAACTGTCCTTAGCCACTGGATGTGTTCTAGCAGTGTTGCTCTACAACTGTAATGCCTGCTTGGCTGGGTAGATCAAGAGTTTTGGTTCAACACATCCGGGCTGGGCTAGATGAACCTTTTAGCATGAAGAAAAGAAGGCTGGGAGGTGATATGATAGCCAGCTTCAAGTATTTCAAGTATTTCAAGTATTTGAAAGGCAGTTGCGGGGAGCAGGCGGGCTTGTTTTTTGCCACTCAAGAGAACAGGATCTGAAGTAATGGAGTTACAAGAAAGGAGATATTGACTAAACATTAGGAAGAATTTTCTAACAGTGAGAGCCATTTGACAAACGTATGGACTGCCTTATAGGGTGGCCTTCAGTTGAGATTTTTAAGCAGAGGTTGGGTGGCCACTGCAGATGCACATGAACCATCGGTTCAGTGGTTTGTGCCAGTTTGGTGGACAAGTGTTCTGCAGTTTGGCACCCTGCCCCCTCTGGCAGGCACCCACTCAGAAGAGGAAGAGGGGCAAGGAAGTCGGGACGCTGCTTCTGAGTGGGCACCATCTAGAGGGGACAGGGCACTGAACCGTGAAGCACCTGTATGGCTGTCTATCAAACCAGCGCGAACCACTGAACCAGCAATTTGCGCCCATCTCTTGTGGCCACCTACTAGGGGTACTATAGTTGTGAATTTCCTGCACTAGCAAGGGGCTGGAATTGATGACCCTTTGCGTCCGTTCCAGCTATATAATGATAGGCTACTATGATTGTATAGTTTTGGCCTACACTTGGAAGGAGAATAGATTAGAGTGTCAAATCAGGGCCAATGAGATCCAGGTTCATGTCCTCACTTAGTTGTGAATCTCCCTCGGCGACCTTAGAAAACTGAGCGTCCAGCTTAAGTAAGCTCACAAGAATGTTGACAGGATAACATGAAAGGGGACTACCCATGAGCAGTGTGTAGAAGGATGGTGGCAGTGATGATGATAATACAGGCAGCTTGAACCAACCCTATGCTTAATTCTGTATACAGTGTAATGCAAAATTGTATGCAGAGTTCTGCATGTAATGAAGGAGTGGTTTTGATTGCTTTGTTGATTTACAGTATTTGAATATAGCCCTTTGCACAGTTATAGCTCAGGGCAATTCACAACAAGAAATCAAAATATAAAAACGTCATTAAAAGACTTCAGTAAAAACAACAACTTAGTGGACTCCTACTCTGCTGTAATATTTAAAATGCACAGCTTTCATGAGTCCTATGGTTTAACATGAGCTGACTGTTCCAACAGGGCAGTTAAGTATTTTTACACTCTGGACTTAATGGTCTTCAGAGTCCCTACTGCTTCAGATAATAATGTAGATACTTCACTAACTTTTGAGATATGATGTGAAATGGGATGCGCCGTGTCTGGGAAAGATGTTCATTCAGCTGAGCTAGGTCCTGGGCTTTTGCTCCAAAGTCCTGATGTAACTGGCACTGCATTGAATGCTACAGAAGTGAATACCTGACATGCCTTAGGGTAGGTCAGAACTTTAGGGGATGGTAAGATCCATGCCCCCACCAGCAGAATTAGGAAGAGGGTCACAAACATAGTAGGAGTGACTTGCCACATATTGAAGTCAATTGCCAACTAGATTATGCCATTTAAAGTCTAGCATCTAGAACTACATAACTACACCATTGCAGTAGCAAAATGGGGAAAGGGGATTCAAACACTCCTCTGGTTGCATTTTGCTCGTTCTGGAGAAAACAATTAAAGTGCATAATAAGGAGGTGATCTCGACCAGGGAGGATAATGCTGGGAATTAGACTCGATTAGAATCATGATTGAAGCTGAGGCTCCAATACTTTGGCCATCTCATGAGAAGACTCCCTGGAAAAGACCCTGATGTTCGGAAAGTGTGAAGGCAAGAGGAGAAGGGGATGACAGAGGACGAGATGGTTGGACAGTGTCTTCGAAGTGACCAACATGAATTTAACCCAACTCCGGGAGGCAGTGGAAGACAGGACGGCCTGGTGTGCTCTGGTCCATGGGATCACAAAGAGTCGGACATGACTAAACGACTAAACAACAGAGTCATGATGCCTCAATGTTTAGAAGAATTAGCAGGTGCTGACCTCAGGGGGCCATCTTGGGTATGACATGCCTCCCAAGCCATAAGCGTTCTCATGGTTACTATTCCAAGCTTCCCCTTCCTCCGCCTGCATCTCTTTGCAAGCTAGCATTGCTGCCGAACTCTTGCCAATTTGAGCTACACCCATACTTCATCACACTTCACGTACCCTGCAACAATCCCATTGATTCAAATGTGTATGCCAGCATTTCCCTAGCATTAGTGTGAGAAAATTAGCTTTCTTAAACTGGAACTCCCAAAATCCCCAGCCAGCACGGCTCTGGTCATGTTGGCTGGGGCTCGTAGTCCAATAATGCAACTTTTCTAAGCTTTGATTGGGAAGCTACAGGAACAGGCAAGGACGTGAGGTTGATGGTACCAGTTATGCAATGAGAGAGGAAATTCTGGATGTCATTAAAAAGCTGCATCTGCTAGGCACTAGAGAGTGGGTCGGTAGGATTCCCTGCCTCAGCTGCCAAAATAACTTGGCTTGGATATGCGCCAGTTGCTTCACCAACTCAGGGGAAAAAATATCTTGGGCTCCAGGTTCTGGAAGGACATATCTTGGTGGCAGCATCACCAGCTGCTTTTCACACTCAGTACCTCACATCTCCAGTTACAAGGATCAGAGGGCAAGGGATGGAAAACACCCTTCTTTACCTGAGAGTTGCTGACAGTCAAAGTAGTCCATCCTGGCCAATATAGCCAACATTAGATTGACACTTGCTTTGATGAAAAGTTGGACCTAAGAAAGAAAGAAAAAAGCTAGGGCATGTTCCATTTATCATAAAATATCCATTCTATATCCCCTCCAGAGAGGTCCTAGATAATCAAATCAAGTCGGAACACTCTCTAAAACCAACAAGGACAAAACAGGCTGTCGTACTTTGGGTGTGAAGCCAAGACTGCCTAGAAAAGATAATAATGCTAGGAAATGATGAAGGCAGCAGGAAAAGAGAAAGAGCAAATATGAGATAGTTTGACTCAATAAAGGCCTTGAGTTTGCAAGAGATTAGCAAGGCTGGTAACGACAGTCCATTTTGGACACCACTTATTCTTAGGGAGACAACTTGGCAGCACCTAACAACAATCTCCTCCACTGATGTCAATAGGTTGCCTTCCCCTTCCCCTGCATTTCCCCCTGCAAGTCAAATGACAATCTGTCACTTTATAGAGGATTCCTATGGTATTTTCATTTATCTATAGCTATATCTTGCTTGCTTGTTTGCTTCCTAGCTTGCTTCCAGAAAAATTAATAGCACAAAACAGCCATCCCATGAGACCTGCACATGGCACCAAGTCATTACTTCTTTAATTACATGCATTGCCAATATATCCAGTCATTTTGCATGGATTGGCTCTCCTCATTCCTCAGATACAGTGGCTGAGAGGTATAGATTGACCCAATGACACCAAGGAAGTTTTGTGACTAAACCAGGACTTAAATTTGGGTCTTCCTGTCCAAAATCCTACCAGTGAATAAGATATGTTGTTTTATGGCACCACAGATATTGTGCAAAAAAAAATACGCTGGTGAACACACATCCTGTGACATTGGTATACAGCCAAAAGGAAAGTTTGACTTGTTCACGGCCTTCTCCTGCATTAACTCAGCAGGTAATTGTGAACAGAAACCCTCCCTTCTGCACTTTCTCCTTTCCCCAATTTTATCCCACCACCCACTATAGCATTTGAAACGAATACCATTTCTTCTAAGATATTGTTCAAGCATTTGGGGGCCATGTTAATCTTTTAAGAGCCATCATGCCATATTTAGGTTATCACTAAAG